GTCCTGAGCCAATGTTGACGTTCAGGGAGCTCTGAAGTGGTAAATGGGGCTCCAGGGGTCGTGCATCCTCACCTTGCATCCTGGCTGTGGATCGATTTGGGCTAGCTGTTTCCAAGGCCCAGCCACAACGCGGTTCAGTTTGGCTTGGGCCTTTGTTGTTGTTTATTCGTTTCGTTGTTCGTTGCTCGTGCTCGTTTAGCTTTCCGTGGTTGCTTCCAACGCCTCGTTTCGTGCTTCCTTCCGCTTGGCGCCGGTCTCGCTGTCAACGCCCGTTTCGAAACGTGGGGCCTCGTTTCGTTTTGGGGTCGTACGCGCCACCTCGTTCTAAGCATCGTCGTGGTCGGTCCCTGTGGATCTGGACTGGCTGTCCTGCTCCTCCCGGCCACCACCCGCAGCTCCGCGGCGCCCGCGGCGCCATGTCCTTCCGCTACGGGGGGGGGTACGGCGGAGGCCTCGGGTACGGCGCGGGCGGCCTCGGCGGCGCGGGCGGCCTCGGCGGCGCGTACGGCGCGGGCTCCGCGTACGGCGCCAGCGGCCTCTACGGCGCGTACGGCGCGCGCGGCGCGGGGGGCGCGGACCTCCGGGGGCGCCGCGGCTTCCGACCCTTCCCGTGGGCCCCCGCAGGCTTCCCAGCCCCAGAGGGTGCTCTCCAGCAGCCGCGCCTCGCCGCGCCAGCCTCCGAGAGGCGCCGAAGGTCGCCCCGAGCGGCCGCGGGAGTGCCGAAGTGTGGCCCGAAAGCCAGGCGAATCTCTGGGAGCGGGGGCTGGCCAGGGAGGGGGGAGCCTCGAACCCCTCTTGTCGCCCGTTCCTCGCCCAGCGGGGGTGCCCAGGAGCGTGGGCCCGTCGCCGATCCAGCGGCGATGCCTCGTCGGTTCCCTGAAATGTTGTCCCTCCCCCTGAGCCAGTCCCCCCCCCTCCTCCCGGCTCCCCTCAGGACTGTGGCACGGCGTGCTGCGCGAGCACCACCGCCTGCATGGGCTGCGGCCCCGGCTGCGGCGTGGCCTGTGCCGAGGGCTCGGGCTGCGGCGGCGGCGGCGGCACGATCCTGAGCTACGTGGGCCCCGGTGGTGGACCTACGTCCAGAGAACCACCTAAGGTACTGGCATATTCGGGCGCGGGGTGACGAGTTCGGGGCGGTCGCATACCCCAGGCCGGCCCGAACCTGCTGCTCTGATCTGCCTCGTGCCTCTCCAGCCTGGTCGCTCCTCCCTGCTAGGCCCCACCTGTCTTTCGGATGAGCGCCTGGGCTCGACGAAACCACGACGACCACCACCACCACCCTAAGCCCTCGTTCTGATCATCACGACCACCCCGCCGCCTGAGACCACCAAGGCCACCACCACCGAGAAGACCACGGCGGCTCCCCCCCCGCCCCCGCCGCCCCCGCCGCCCCCGCCTCCCCCGCCTCCCCCGCCGCCCCCGCCGCCCCCGCCGCCCACGACCACGGAAAAGAAGATTAACTGCGGGGAGGGCGCGACGTCTGTGCCGGCGGTGTTGCCGAACTAGGTTTGCTAGAGCCTGCAGAGGGCTCGGGTTGCCCGACGACCCCTGAGCCGCTCCCAGCAACATGACCGGCGCAATATAGACGAGCCAGTGTAACGACGGCGAGGGCACCACCTCGCCCGTCCCGGATCGATTGCAACTCTGGCTATAACGACCCTCGACCCGCTGCCACAGTGGTCGCGGCTGGTCTGGAGAGAAGAAGCTGTAATTGCTGCAAGACGCGAACAAGGCTGCCCGTCGGAGCTCTGCCACCCGACCCTCTGAGGCTCTGCGTCGCCCGCCTCATCATACGCAATACCCCCGAGTGCCGACAAAAGCGTGTACGACTGCAACGTCGGGCTATCTCAGGGCCACCCCCCCAGACCGGGGACACTTTGATTAACCAGGACGGTTTGGCGTCCCCGAGATTGCAGCGTGCGGTCCAAAAGCGTTCCTCCGTGCTTCCAGTCCCCAGGTGGAGTTCTCCAAGGTCCTGGTTGAACTGTCCCTGCGAGACGGAGCCCGTGGCTCTCACCACAGCATGGACTGGCCTGGAGCTTTCGTGTCCCCGAAGAAGATCGAGTACTGCTGCAGCCAAGGGACACAAGGCTGCAAGGGCGAGGAGCCGAGTGAGCACCTCCGGGCGTGGGGGCTCGGCTGCCCCCCGCCTTCTCGATCTCGGTCCTCCGCTCCTCGATCCTCGAGGGAGGTCCGAACCCAGAGGACGATCGGAGCCCGCTGGGCGGGAGGCAAAGCCACACCCGCCCGCGAGCGACTGCGTTTTTTTCTTCCGTGCTCCCAGGGGCCTTCTCGAGGGTGGCGGCCCTCTGAGAGGGCGGGGGCCTTCTTGGCAGGGCCCTGGGGGCTTCCACGATGCCATAGGAGGTTTTCTACAAGAAGCCCCCCTGCCTTCTGAGAGGGCGTCCCCCCTCGCGCTGCTCCACCTCCTCCTCCTCCTCCTCCTCCTCCTCCTCCTCCTCATCCTCTCACTCCCTACCTCGTCCTCCTCCCGCTCCTCCTCCTCCTCCTTCTCGCTCCTCCTTCCTGCTCCTCGCTCCTCCCTGCTCCTCCTCCTTCTCCTCCTTGACCTCTTCGCCTCCTCGCTCGTGGCTCCAGAATGGGCACTCTCTCGAGCAGGGAGATGTTGATGAGTCGGACCGCTACACATTCCACGACACTATGTAATGTTGCACGGCTTGTGGGGCCATGGCCCACACCAGCACGAAACGGGGGAACCTGAGGGGGCCGCGTTGTCCGTCGTCGTCGTCGTCGAGCGGGCGGTCGTCGTCGAGCATACGATGACTTAGGAGGTCTTCTGCAAGAAGCCCCCTGGCCTTCTGAGAGGGCCGCCCCCCTCGCGCTGCTCCACCTCTTCCTCCTCCTCCTCCTCCTCCTGCTCCTGCTCCTCCTCCTCCTCCTCCTCCTCCTCCTCCTCGTCCTTCTCGTCCTCCTCGTCCTCCTCCCGCTCCTCCTCCTTCTCGCTCCTCGCTCCCTGCTCCTCGCTCCTCCCTGCTTCTCCTCCTCCTCCTTGACCTCCTCGCTCCTCCTGCTTGCTCCTCGCTCCTCCTCCCCCTCGCTCCTTGCTCCTTGCTCCTCGCTCCTCTTTTCTCCTCCTCCTCATCCTTCTCCTCTTCCTCCTCGTCCTCGTCCTCGTCCTCGTTCTCCCTCACCTCCTCCTCATCCGTCTCCTCCTCGCTCCCCGTCCTCCTCGCTCCTCCTCCTCCTCCTCCTCTCCTCCTACTTCCTCCTCTCCTCCTCCTCTACCTCCTCCTCATCTCTCCTCCACCTCCTCCTCCTCCTTCTCGCTCCCCTCCTCCTCCTCCTCCTCCTCCCCTCCCTCCTCGTGCTCCTCCTCCTCTCCACCTCCTCCTCCACCTCCTCCTCCTCCTCCTCCTCCTCCTCCTCGCTCTCCTCCTCCTCTTGTTCCTCCTCGCTCTCCTCCTCCTCGCTCTTCTCCTCCTCGCTCCTTCTTTTCCTCCTCCTCCTCCTCCTTCTGCCCCTGCTCCTCCCCCTCGGTTCCTTTGTCCACTTCCAGGGATCTGAAGCCCTGACCCTTTCCCTGGGGCGGGCTGTTCATCCCGAGCCGTCTGTTGACGGCCCCGGGGCCTGGGCCCCCGTAGTGGTCCTTCAGGGCGGTGCAAGGTCCGGGTCCTCCCTGCCCTGAGACCCTCGCAGATTGATCGGGCTCGAAAATTGACGCAGAGTGATCGGGGATCCAGTCGTGTTTTTCTGCGATGCTGCACAGCCTCTTCTGCAACGTCAGATTTCAGGGTGCTCTGCTTCCCCTCGGCTCCCTCCCCGCCTGCCAGGCCTCTCGTCGCGTGCTCCGGCCCACCCGGCCCTGCACACATGCATCCGCGACCCTTCGCCGCGCGCGCGGGTCGAATTATCTGGCGCGTGGCGACGGCGCGTGGGGCGCCGGGCGGGGGGCAAAGTTACGCCCGCCCGCGGCCCTGCAGCCCGACTTGTCTGCCGCGCGCCCGCTGTCCTCAGACTGGGGCGCCTGCCTCCTCCGGCCGCCCGCGCGGCCTGCGGGAGCATCGCCGCCCCCCCTCTCCCCGACAGGAAAAAAGGCCCTTGGAGCCCCAGGGAGAACGTGACGCCGCAGAAACCCCGCGAGCACGCGGGAGCGCCCAGCAGACGGCCGACATGCACGCAACACCCACCAAATCACCCCAACCCGGCCCGAAGGCCCCAGTGTGCCCTCCTCTCCCCCATGGTGGGGAGTGGGGGTGGCGCCGGGGGACACGGAACAGGTACAGACGGAGCCCGAACCCCCCCCCACCTGGAATGCTGGCCTTCGGGTTGGGTTGGGGGGGTCTGGAAGGCCTACGTGAACATCAACGCTCGGACGTCCACGCGGATCTCTTGGATCGGCGCGGGGCCCCACTGGCGGCGCCTATGGCGTCGCCCTTGGCGCGCTCCGCGCCTCCAGGTCGCGCGCCGATCCAAGGAATCTTCGCGGACGTCCAGAAGGCTATGTTTATGCTGCCTTGGTCAACGGATGCTGTAAGGGGGGTATGACTTGCATGCGAGAAACCCGCACTTGAGACACACATTGCGAACATGTGCCGCTGGAGTGCCGTGCCGTGCCATGCCTGCGCGCCGTGCCGTGCCTCGGTTCTGGAGCTTGAGTAAAGTGCCGTGTGCGATACCGTGCCGTGCCGCGCGTGGGTTCTAGGATGCGAAAACTGTGCCGTGCCGTTCCGTGCCGTTCCGTGACTTGCCTGGTTTCTAGAATGCAAGGACATATTGGCTTGGCGAAGTACCCAACCATTTGTAATTCTGAGTGCCGCAGTTGTACATGGAGCTCACTGTGGGGCCACGAAACGTGTGATGGGTAATTAAGGGCTCTCGGGGATCGCGGGGGCCATCTCAGGGATTCCCACGAATGCTCCCGGGGATCGTGGGGGCCCTCCGTCCGTTTCGTTTTGGATGCAGCTTCTTCTGCTTCTGCTTTTGCTTCTTCTTCCTCGACCCCCTCGGGGAAAGAGCTTACTTTTTGGGCTCGGGGCTCGTGGGGGCCACCTCGGGGATTCTCCTGGCAGTGCTGGGGTCCGGTCGCGGTCCCAGTTGACTGTGGGGCTCCTCTTGGGAGTGACCTGGGGTCGGCGTCACCCCCACATACTATTGCTACTACTGCTATTGCTGCTACTGCTACTGCTTCCATTACTACTGCTACAACTACTACTACTTTTACTATCCCCACGAATAATACTACTACTACTACTACTACTGCTACTCACTAGTACTTCGACTTACCACTACGACAAGGACTAGGATTACGACGCCGCTTATTATTTGTAGTAGTACTATGATTATCACGACGACGGCTACTACTACGCTTGCTATACGACTACTATGACTATACTACTACCACTACTACAAAGACTACATTGATTACTTCTTCTACTACGACTACTACTTCTTGTACTATGGCTGTTAGTACGAATACTTATACTACTACTGCTACTGCTACGATTACTACTACGACTACGATTACTACACTTGTAACTATTTCTATTACTACTACTACGACTGCTGCAACTACTACCACTACCATTACTACTACTATTACTACGGCGCCTACTACTACGACAACTACAACTACTACGACGACTACGACTACTACAAGGACAACATCTACTACTTGTACCACTGCCCCTATTTCTACTACTACTACTACTACTACTACTACTACTACCACTGCTGCTGCTGCTGCTGCTACGGATTTTACTATTACGACTGCTGCTACACCTACTACTACTAGGACTGCTACGTACTACTACTTCTACTACTACTACTACTACTACTACTACCACTACTACTACTACTACTACTACTACTACTACTACTACTACTACTACTACTACTTTCTACTACTACTACTACTACTACTACTACCGCTATTACTACACCAACTACGACTACTACTATTACTACTACTACTACTACTACTACTACTACTACTACTAGTACTACTACTAGTACTACTACTGACACTACCACTACTACTACTAACTAACAAAACTACTAACTACTACTACGACTACTACAACAACTACAAACTGCTACTACTACTACTACATACTACGACTAACTACTACTACACTACTACACTACTACTATCTACTACTACACTACTACTACTACTACTGACAACTATTACCTATTGTTACTACTACAAACTACTACTACTACTACTACTACTACTACTAGTACTACTAGTATATACAACTACCACTGCGACTACGAGTACTACGACGGCGACGACGACTATTATTTCTACCACGACTACTACTACTACTACTACTACTACTACCACCGCTCTTAGTACAACAACTTGTACTATTTTTACTTTTACTACAACTGCTACTACTTCTACGAGTATTTTCTATTACTAGGACGACTACTACTACTACTACTACTACTACTGCTCCTCCTCCTCCTACTACTCCTACTACTACTACTACTACTACTATTACTACTACTACTACGATGACGACGACTACTACTACTCCGACTACTCCGGTCTTAGTAGTAGTAGTGGTAGTAGTAGTAGTAGTAGTAGTAGTAGTAGTAGTAGTAGTAGTAGTAGTAGTAGTAGTAGTAGTAGTAGTAGTAGTAGTAGTAATAGTAGTAGTAGTAGTAGTAGTAGTAGTAGTAGTAATACTAGTAATAGGGTTAGTAGCAGTAGCAGCAGTAGTAGTAGTAGTAGTAGTAGTAGTCGTAGTAGTAGTAGTAGCAGCAGTAGTAGTAGTAGTAGTAGTAGTAGTAGTAGTAGTTGTAGTAGTAGTAGTAGTTGTTGTTGTTGAACACTATTACTTCTAAAGAATTATTATTGTTGGACCCCCTGGTGCACGCCCCCCGCCCAAAACCTAGGCCGCAGCTACATTTTCATCATTTTTCTGCGAAAGCTTCAGAAAAGTGGATTACCCCCGGATCCGGTTTTTTGTTGACGCTCGTTTTCCCTTGCAAAAAACAATAGAAAAATGAAAATTCTTGTTCTTAGTTGATTAAATTTCAAGAATCCCTTGCAAAAAATAAGGTAAAGTGGACATTCGCGCTCGCAAAGACGAAATCCTTTCCAAAAACCTTAAGGAAAATACAAGGCATTGAAAAAAAAAAGGTTTCGTAGCGATTTTAACATAAAAACATCTAAAACCCCAAATGTGGTTTTATTTTTTTAAGAAAAAAATTGTCCAAAATGTCCTGCGCGCGCTCTTGCGGATTCATCGGAAACAACGGATGCATATGTATAAATAAAAGAATATGAATGAATTACAGTACAAGGGATAAATTCAGAAATAAATAACATATCAAAAAGCCAAAAGAAAATCCTATATGACAACATTAAAATAGAAATGTTATATCGCGGATTCATAGGAAACACACCACTTTTTAAACATTTCTGTCAAAAGGGTCTTTGCGTGCTACTTCTTCAGGTGCTTTGAACTTCTCCAACAACGTTTGCGCGCCTGCGAGGGCCACCATCCCTTGCAAAAAATGAGACGAAGTGCACATGCGCGCGGCCGCCGCGCGCGCATGTCGAAATCCTGCCAAACACAATTGGTTTTCAATAATTTCAAGATGCGATGTTCAGAAAACATATGAAAACGCACTACTTTCTCATCCGAAAAATCTCGAAATCCATTCGCGGTCTCTTGATGAATCTTTAAAACCCAAGATGGCCCCAACAGGCGCGCAAGATGGCCCCAAGAGGCGTCCATGAGGCCCAAAGGCCCCGAATGGCTGTACTTCGACGCGTACTTTTACGCGAACGCGGTATTCGGGAACTTCTCGGTATTCCAGGATGAGAGGCTTGGGAAGCCCATTGGCTACCTTGTGCACGTATTCGACACGCTGTGCACCGCAGCAGGTATCGTCGCCTGGAAAGCCAACCTCTTCGTCCACCCGGGCCAGTGGGTGTATCGCAGTATGCGGTATTTGCTCGGTCAGCTCGCTATTCCCATTCATGCGGAGATCGTATCCTGCCTCTCCTACAGGGCCCTGGCCACCTTGGACGTATTCATTGCGTACCACGCGGCCTTCATGGGTACGGACCCGCAGAAAATGGCCCTTTGGAACGTATCCCCTGAGGTCGGCACAGAGATCACGTATCCGCGTCAAGACCAGTGGTGTGGTTGCCCGTATGGCGGTCGTATGGTCAGAGCGACGAGCTTCCGAACATGCTCGATTACCAGGCCTTGCCACCGCAGGTCCACAACGTGCTCGCGGTAGCACTGCCGTATGCATGCACCGGCCTTCCCGCCAGCAGGCGTATCGGCAATCTCATTGGGCATCTGGGACCGCACGGGTATCAGCCAGGCCCGCACGTGTATCAGCCAGGCAGCCGGGCACCCACGCGCCCGCTCCGCGCCTTCGCAGACGACGATGCGTCGCGCCTTTAGTATGCTTCTGGATGCGAAGACCATTCGGTTGAGTATACCCCTACGTGTGACTGGACCTGTTTGCGAAAGCAGGAGAAAGTATGGCAACCCTTTGTGTCCAGAGCCGCGCCGTCTGCGTTCTTCCTTTCTCGCTTCTCTCCTTTCCTCCTTGTCCTGCTCCTCCTCCCCCTCTTCCGCCTTGGAGCCGCATTGGAACTGTCGATGGCCATCTCCCTTTCTCCCTCGCATGTCTGCTTGTACATGCGTATAATTTCAGAACTTACCGTGCATGCGATCGTTTACAACATGGTGGACCGTGCGCATGTCACGAACCTTGTATACATGTGTTTCTCTCCCTCCGTCTGGCTGTGCACGCGCTCGTTTGGCACTGAGAGTTAGGATCGTAGCGCCATGAGTCTATGAGCAATGCATGCGTCATCCTTGGGACTGTATAACATCAGTGTAACACATGTACTTCTGTAATCGCATCCCCACGAATTTGCCCCAAAAATGTGACCAACTATCTTGGCACTGCGTACCATCTCACGTGTACCGTGTACCACATCATATGTAACAGATGTGATCAACCTCTGTGGGTGTGTACCCCACGCCAGTGTAGTGGCCAGGGTCGTCCGCACGCCACGAAGTGAAGTGTCCCAACGTCATAGGGCGGGAAGCTGGGTGTGTGTGGTCTCGACGAGTCGTTTGGATATTTGGTAGAGCTTGAACGGCCCCCCCACGAAGTGGGGGTATTGGCTGGTGTCGCAAGAAAACCCTGGCACTGGGGAGAACACTGAGCGTTCGGGTAAAATGATTGT